GTTTCCTTTCTGCCGAAAATTTCTGATACATGTGCTGTACTTAATATTCAATTTCAAATAGATCAATTTTGTTTCAATAAATATTTGCTAGTTCCTTTCAATCATATCGGAAATTAAACATGTCAAACATAAATGTTTTATTTGCGTTCACTGCCATAAACTCCTTTATATTCTCTTAGGGTCTGTCAAAGTTGGCGCAATAGATATTAGACAATTTATTTCGTTTACTCATTTCTGTCTCTCATCATTTTGAATTTGCACCACATTAACCGTTCGGTGTATTCGCGTAAATACAATCAATAATTAAATTATAATGAACGGTCAAAGGCACTGACATTCGTAAAAATAAAGCCGATCTCCAAAGAGTTTAGCATACAAAGAAGAAGATATTAGTATTAATAATTTTAAAATCTATCCTTTCCCTTTCAGCATCGGACAAAAAGACGCACTGCAGAACTCCATCCTTTTGTCGTTGACATTCCCCACCATTTAACAAGGAGGTTCACCTCTTCTATAGTAATGCGTATATGTATAGCAAAGGATTGATATGTTTTGCCAGTGTGAGGTAAAAATTTAAACTTTTATCCTACCGATCATGATGTGAGTATATTCAAAAATAGCGGAAATTTAACATTTTGAGTCCCAAAAATAAATTTAAAGAATTAAAAAAATTTAAGACAAAAATATTAACTTCAAAAAATCTATTAGTAATAAATTTTTAAAATAATACTAAATAATACTAATGTGAAAAAAAAAAATCAAATCTTGAAAACCTAACCTCTATAACCTAACCTAGCGGTCGCCTGCCTGACGTCAAACCTTCTTGGGAAAGAAGCACCCAGATTTGGAACATTATCTGTGGGTCCTAAAAATACTTATTCCATGTGGGAATAGAACCCTGTGTCATGACCCCCCGATACCGAAGCCATTAGTTTAGCAACGGCACCACCGAGTCACAATAAATATCATTTATGAATTCGATTTTTAAAATGGAGTAGTGTCGATTGGACCGACCTCGTTATATAAGAGGGTCTGGCCGCGTAATTCGAATTTAGATATCAGTTTTGTACGTGAATTCGTCATTAAAGTGAATTCAAAAACTTACGAACTATATTGAATTAAATAAAATACTGTGGAGTTTTCATTATTCAATAAAACTATATTGCAATTGCGTGCATTAAGCACTATATTTTAATTTTTTGCTGCTGATATATAAAAAGTAGTAGTGTCTATACATATTTCCTTTTTTAAATTATCACAGATTAAACTACCAAATATTTTTTTTATAGAAATACACAGAATAGCTTTATTTTTTTAAATGTTACATGCTACAGCTTCGGTTTTGCGTGAAGTGGAAGTGTCTTAAATAATCGTTTTATTTTATTTTATATATTAACTATTCATATCTTATCACTGCCCTATATTTCAGATTAATTTTATTAAACAGAATAATTTTTGGAAAAACATTTAACGGAGTGCGTATATACCGACAGCCAAAAAGCGACATTAAGTGGTTGTTTTACCAATTTCCCGGTATTAACATGGCAACAAATAACAACTTTTTGACATTTACCTATAATTTCAAGTTATTTTAATTAAACGGTTATCAATTGCATTTAATGTATTTTCACAATCATAGAGTACTGGCACAGGGGATAAAATTTTAGTTATTTTTCTTGTGTTACGCTAAAAAAGTATAACTTTTTACGTGCGTACAAAAGTACACGTACGTCTTTTTTTATTTTTTAACTTTATATTTTGTTATTCTATATTACTTTTCACAATCTAAATACAATTAAGCTCTGAGTATGAAATATAGTACTGGGAATCTTGGGACTGCCTGTAATTGTGATGATGTGTTACTTGTTGCCCTAAAATTCGTGTTTACTTAATTTTGTGTACACGTAATTTTGTTGGTAGGATAGTAGGTAGGTAGTAAAACAAATACATAAATTAACGTAATGCTAATATAATTGCAGTTATCTTTTACAGCTAATAAATATTATGTTTAAGTATCAAATATATTTTAATAAGGTAGAACCAACTGGCCAAACAAACAGTAAGAAAATGTGAAGTTGACTTGTAATAAGCTTAGTATAATATCGTTAAAAAATTGAAAAGCACTAAACGGCAAAGAAAGAAAATCCTTTCACAAAATTAAATACGAGTTAATTACCAAGGTAAACGAAACTAAGTTTTTCAAAGAATTAGTAGTAACATATAGGTAAACTTTTTAACATATAGGCTATTTTTACATAAATCCTATTACTTGAATAATTTATTAGGCATACGTAGCTTACGTTACGGTCTAACTAGAGCAATTTGTATACCAGGTGACTGAATCATGCTTACGTAATCTCACACCGCCATATTATTGTTACATTTTAAACAAATATGCATATATCTTGATAATATTAAATTTATAGTCATATTCGAATGAGATTTTTCATTCCCTGAAAACAGGGATAAAAGGGCATTTTCTAAAAATGAAACCTAGCTAGATCGATTTTTCGCCCCCGATTCTCCGCACATACTAAATTCATGAAAATCGCTGATGCCGATTTTATATATATATATATATATATATATATATATATATATATATATATATATATATATATATATGTATATATAAAATCGAATTGCTCGTTTAAAGCATAAGATTTCAGAAATTACATCGTTCATGTATCATTATGACATAGACTGTCTGTAAAGCCTTTAACGATATTACATTGAAATATTTGTAAAATAATCATTTAACAATTTCATTTAACCTTTTGTTATGTTGTACTAAACCATATTTCTTTTTTATTTTTGATATTAAAATATTTTTTAACAATCACAAAATGTTTATGACAGTTGGTATTTAAAGGCTTTTTCATTTAAACTTAAATAAATGTTTACTTTTTTCTCGTTTACTGATACGTCAAAGTTAAATAAATATATAGTACTAATGCTAACAGCATTGCTATTCGTCATAGCAAATTTAGGAAATGACGCTCCGACCTTTTTTATCTCATCCAACCGCAATTCGCTGCAAATGGTTTCGGCTGGGAATAAAAGATCATACAAGTTAACAGAAACCATTTTTACAGATAAGAAACGGAATTTGCAATTTCATTTAAGCAAGCAAACCAAAAATAACTAAATTCTATGTTTGTAAAATTATTTAGTAACCATACACTATCCCATAATGATCCCATTACAAAATTATAATTTACAAAAGAATCATCATCATTCTCCTGGCCTTATCCCAAATAGGTGGGGTCGGCACAATATGGCAATCATGTTTTAAGCGGTTTTGGCCATATTTAGCGTGGTAGGGCCACGCTTGCGGTGGTAGGGCTACGCAGCAGCCTCGGCCGGCTGTTGCACGAATGGGCAGGCTTGTCCGGGTAAGTACCACGACCTCACAGAAGACCGGCGTAAAGTGGAAGAATCATACTTTCGCGTTTCCTCTGGTGAGTGAGGTAGCAGGAGCCCAATTTCCAAAAAGGTTGTCAACGCATCTGCAAACCCTCGGGTGTAGCAGATGTCCATGGGCGGCGGTACTCACTTAACATCAGGAGAACCGTCTGCTCGTTTGGCAACGTTTCACCAAAAAAAAAAAAAATTACGCCGGCCGCCTGCCTGACGTCAACCCTTCTTGGGAAACAAAACACTATCCCGAAAAATTATCTGCGAGTCACACAAATACTTGTCTCCCGTGTGGAAATCGAACCCACGACCCCCGACACCGAAGCCAATAGCTTAGCAACGGCGCCACCGAGTTTACAAAAGTATATTAATTCATATTTGAAAATTAAACAATATATTAATTTAAGCAACAATGTTAGTTTAAATAAGTTCAGCTTAGTCTGATAAGCAAATAACATTGTAAAAAATTAACAAGGCAATATTCTTAGAAATTCATACATGACTTCAAAGAAGGAGGATCTCAATTCGGTTGTATTTTTTATGTTTGTAGCTGATAAATCCGCCATTTTTAACCGATTTTAGAAATTAGTTTTGCATTGGGCTCGATTTAGCACTATTATTATATAGTATTGCATAAGTATGTGCTCCGGAGATACATCAGGTACCCCCCAAGATGAACGAGATATTTGAAGACGGTTTTATAAATAAAACCGTCTTCAAATATCAACATCTTTTATCTACATTGTTTTTTAGCATATGAAGTGAAGTGAAGAAGCAATGCTTTCCAGCATACAAACAATTTCGAATATCGTTTTACAACAATAATTCGAACGAGAGATGTCGCCATCGCTATTTTAGAATTACAAATACAAGCTATTTAATTCTATTGTCTTATTAAGAAAGAACAAGTTGCTGCTAGTTATTTAAACGGAATTACACTAATTCCAAGTACGCTACACGCTAGAACAATAGTGTTTTGTTCCCAATGCTCATCTAGTATATGTTCGAGCCACAAACTTAAGTTTAGTGTCACATAATAGCGCCGGTAATCAAGTTTCATATACGTCTGCCAACTTAATACGAGTCTGTAAGTCACTAAAATCATTACATTAAGTCTGTTACAACGGTGGATATCGAATTTATTTAATGATATTTATCAATAAAAACGTAAATGATTTTCTCCTTGAAATGTAAAAGATTTATGTAGAATAAATATTTACAACAATTATTTAATAACGTGTACATCTGTGTGTAATTATGTGATAGACACTTAATTCCACTTTCCAGTGTCCCGTATCATCTATATACATTAAATTGGAAATCTTCTTTAGAATTTTATACGGTTTCAATTCATCAAAGAATCTCAGTTCATCCATTTTCTCTCTATGTAGTTGATTCCCGGTCCCGAAGTCTCCCACTTCTTATTTATATTTTTCTGTATGCAACCGAATATTTTTTTTTTATTACAATTAAGTAGTCCGTGCATGTTTCCTTATCATTTTCATTTATTTTTTTTAAATATCATCTTATTGGCTCAAGTTTGATTTCGACTCATGTATCCACAGCACTGAGAAGTATACTTATTTGACGTTCCTCACATCTCGTTGCCGACGTCGCGTCGCCGCCTGCTGTTCCTCCTGCATTTTGCAATTGATGCTGCGCGCGGCTATGTCCACATCATCTGGAATCAAGATGGTTTTGTATTTAAACGTAGGCAAAGCTCTCAAGTAGAAACTGAGATAGGTAGGGGACCTATGTGTTACAAATGCTCCGACATTTGAAACACCTAGGTCCCCCGTGTCAGATGGACATTAAGTCCGAATGCCGAAAGCCGAAGGCCCCATTAATGGCCGACGGCCATTAATGGGGCATTCGGACGCCAAGTGTTCGCCCGGGTAACAAAAACATTGAGCGGCCGGTAACAGTTGGTCGTAGAGTGGTAGGGCCACGCAACAGTGTTCGCTGTTGCACGAATGGGCAGGTCCGTCCGGGTTAGTACCACGACCTCACAGAAGACCGACGTAAAGTAGAAGTGTTACACTTCTGCGTTTCGTCTGGTGAGTGAGGTAGCCGGGGCCCACATTATTAAGCAAGGCAACGCATCTGTAACCCTACGGGTGTTGCAAATGTCCATGAACAGGCGGTTATCACTTAACATCAGGTGAACCGCCAGCTCGTTTGCCACTTTCTCACATAAAAAAAAGAGTGCCCGAAGCCTTGACCTCTTTGTCCAGATGGTTTAGTTTGAGACGTAATAGGGATCCCGGCCTACTCCTCTTCGATGGTATCTATTTGAAGTAGGAGGCCGGGAACCCAATGGTCTTGAAGGTAGCAACTAATTCTTCCAGGGACGCGTCACGTGGTAGGCGAATCTCTATCTTCGTGGCCAGTTCTTCTGTGAGTTAGTAGCAGAAAACGAAGAAGGGATCCTTGTTGTTCTGCTCCATCAGGTATCTTAAGACCCATCAGTTAAGACCCCTTTGAGGCCGGAAACTTAGACTCTTCACAGCATCGAGCATTCGGCTGGCCTCTACGGCCTGTTGCACGCTGATGGATGGTGCTGCGATGCCTCGCGGTGAGAGTGATACATACGCCATCATATCGTAGTCTGGTGAAGTCGACATAGCTGAGGGAAGGATGATTAAATCCCTTTACGATGAAGGCCACAACGCGTAGGATGTTTTATCCGTAACGCGCAGACTCATCAGCATCGCGAGCAGCCTGCTCGCTGTTGCTTGTTAGAGTTTGTCCAATAAGTAGTCTGAGGCGAGAAGTGTGCATAGAGTTCTACTTTTGAACCTGTCTATAAGCACAACACTACTCTAACACAACTGGTAAAGCTCAGGGTTTGGAAAAGTTTTCTTTTGTTTGTTTTTCTGTATTATTTTTCCTTTGTTCAGAAACGTTTCTTTACTCTTCTTTTTTCTAGCTTATTTTTCAAAATGGTGCAGAGTCTTGCGACTGTTGCCACCAAGTAGGGTCATTCTAAGAAGTCGGGCCGGGGTAATAAAATTATTGCTTTCATTTTAGCTGAGGTCCACACTGTACGAGAGCAGTAAGCGCAATGTCAAGGTCGCTTTATGTACTTATCGTTGCCAACTATGCACAAGTAATGTCAATTCCTGATACGTGTAAATACCACACCTAGCAGGAGTTGCATTATCTTAACACCATATTCTCGTACCTACATTAACCAGGTGAGTGGGCATATAAACGAAATTTAAGTAACTAGAGGTATATCCAATCAGTGCCAGGGCTTATGGAGCACTCTAGTTCCACAATTGAATTGCGAAATTCATTTGCTGCGAGTTTACCGTCTAACTGCTCAGTTTGAAAATTGAATCCAAAGTTTATGTTTGCATGACGAGGACCTACAAGGCTTTATATATTTAATGAATATAATTCTTAAAGTGTCATATGTATTAATTAAAAGAATTGTATGGAATAAGAATTATATGTAATTTTATAGTAAGGATAAATATAATATTCAATCTCCAATTTTGCTTGCCCGGAATGCTTTTTGTTTACACTTTTTGATTAACGCATGCGTCAATTTCACGAGTACCAGGTGCCTTTTTCTTTAATACAATAATTTTTCTTATAAATTGTATTATCAGAGAATAAAAACATTCAACGTTAAAACACGTGCTTTAATGTGTACCTCTCAATATCTGAACTGTATTAAACTAAATTTTTGGTCCCTTAGGGACTCAGAGTAGTAGAACTGCAAATTATTAAGATATAGATATCGATATTTAGGCCGTCGCAGCCGGAAAAGTAAGCCCGTATATTATATAGTTTTAAGCTACGTTTTAAGCCTAAAACTTATACTCTAACTTTAATCAAGAACCACGGGGTACACGTATGAAATTATTTGAATAACTCATTATTTTTAGGATTCCGTAGTACTTCTCACTAAGACTCTGCTCTGCTCTGCTTTCTGTCTGTCCGTCTGTCACAAGGCTGTATCTCATGAACCGTGATAGTTAGACAGTTGAAATTTTCACAGATGCTGTTATATATATATATATATATATATATATATATATATATATACTATGTATTATATAAATAATATAATATTGTCTCATATTATTGTACTTATACTATAGAAATTGTGTTTTAATCTGAGATCACAGATCATAGCGCTAAAGAGAGTATCTGATTTAAATAATATGCCAGTTTACGACGACAACTCTCTATCGATCACCATGAAGGCCTAACAACGCCCAGTGAAAAGTGGAACGAAGAAGATTAAAGTAATTTTAATGTTTATTTTATTTTTCACATCTGCATACCGTCTGTTCCAAGGTCATGGATACAATAAGTTCAAAATATATATAATAAAAGTAACAACAACTCAAGTTGTTACAAATATTCGTTCAATAGGTTTACTTATAAAATGGAGCACTTATTATTACCTATAGATTGATAATCCTCCTACTTGAACCTGTTAACCTCGTCGTTAACAGGTTCAATTTCCTTCATTAACTCTGCCGGAGTATTTATTATCTTTAAGACAAATTTTTGGTACGTCAAATTAATTTATTTCAATTTCACCTTATAGGTTACAATGCTTTCTATTACAATAACATGAGTATTAATTAATGTTCTATTTTAATTATCTTGCTACTAAAATAATTTGTGAACTATAATACTAAAATTTAATTTGAATTCTTAGTGTAGTAATAATATAACCTATAATAAAAACTAAAGTAAATCCATAGACAAAATAATTATTGTCCGTAACCTGGAGGACACATCCTTAACTAAGTGCGGCTAAAACAGATACTCGTACCTACTCTAGATAACTTACAAAATACATAAAAGACCGGCGGCTTTTACCCCATCTTCGGCTAATAATGCCAAGCAAGCTTCTATGGTGGCCACTTCATGTTAACGACAACCAAACGATCTTTAGTGGAGAGAGAAATCGATATGTAACTCTATAATTTTATATCGGAAAGCTTAACATTCGCGAGTCGACGCAATTATAATGTTATTAAACTAATTTAGTGAAACTTTTACTATACCTAATTTTACCCTTACTTTAAAAATAAAAATTATAAGTTCATATTTAACATTCATCCTCATCATCATATCATCATTTCAGCCTATGAGTCCACTGCTAACATAGGCCTCCCAGACAGCCTGTAACGAAGCTCGTCCCACACTGCGATGGCCAGTACGAGGCTGCCACTCCAGAACCTTCCCCAACGGTTATCAGTTCTACGAGCTATATGGCCAGCCCATCGCCACTTCAGCTTACTAACATTCTGAGCTATGTCGGTTAGCTTTGCTCTACTGCGGATGTCTTCGTTGCGAACTCTATCACTAATAACTAAAAGACCACATATATTTTTATCAAATAGGAGAGTAACGAGCAAACAGGTCATCAGACTGTAAGTGATCACTCGCAATATCTGAGGCGTTACAAATGCATTTCCGGCCCTTGCTCGGATCGTCGCAAGCTCTGTCCGATCATCAGGCATCAAAGCTTTCTGGTTTCTTGCTAAAGCGATTGAATCCAACTTAAATGTTTTCGCCAAAATCTAAATTTGCCCATATCTTTTTATCGTATTGCATCGGGATATTGCTTTTATTGAAGGCTTTTTTTATAGGGACTATACCAGATACTGAGGATAGCCCTCAGTATCTGATAAATTTATAAAATAATTTAATAAAATTTATATAATAAATTTCATCTTGCTATGTCCACCCGTTCCTGAGAAATTTCTCGGTGGTGATTATTTACTAATTTTATTATGTTAATGAGTAGGTACGGAATCCACGGCATACGAGTTCGAATCGCACTTGACCGGTTTTTAATTTCATAAGCCTCACGAATCATTCTTTTATCCGTCCACTGATAGTTTAAATGTTTAATTTATTGAGTATAAACTCAAGTTGTTTTCTCTAATAATTTTCATCTGATAACTTTCATTTGTCATTAACAAAGCCTTTGCACCTGTTTCTTACTAAATTGTAGCCGAAATTTTCCTGACCATCAACATTCAGGGTCGCTATGTAAGGACAGATGCTCTAATAAGACGTATTGATGCTTAAATGTTTTATTAAACACTTACTTTTATAGCATCGGTGGTTACATAAGTTCATAGTACAATCTCGTATTTATAGAGGATATCACCGGTCAATACATACTTAAGGATGATCTTGAAAAGTCACTATACTTTGAGACAAAAAAAATAAAATTATATGCTCCAGGATAACATATTGCAAACAAACAGTGCTCACAGATGTAATACACATTAATTCCCACGCGTGACAAAAATTTGTGTGCGTCATAAATTGCTGTTCGATCTCTGAGTAAGCCTTGTGACCATAATTAAATTAAAATTTAATTATCCACAAGCCATACACGTATTATTTCTGACTGCAGGAGACGTAGTTATTATATTTAAAATACATATTTCTTCATCTTGAAATATGTGAAATTCATACCCTATAAAGCCAGTTGGATTAGTCACATGTAAATATATTCCAGTATTTTTTATCAATAATATTCACTTTTACTGAATGACAAAATTTGTAAAAAAATATATTGATTATAATATAAACTTATATATATAATACAAAGATCATTTACTACGGTGGTTTCTTCGCGTTTTGGTAAGCAATTAATTTAAATTTCGCCATTTATTGGAGCCACGAAAGGCCATTGTTTCTGAGAAGTTAAACACCCTAATAAAACTTGTAAATGATAGCTTACCTACAATTTTACATAAATATCTATTAAGTTTTGTGCTGCATGCCATACAATTACCATGAAATGGTTATCGGTTTAAAAATTATGCGAGTACCTTATGGCAGCTACTAGGTAACAAAATGGTGGCTCTTTCTAAAAGACAAAATACTTTTATGATTAAATGACATATTATTTAATCAGTTTCAACATAATAACCTAAAACACTAACTATCAATTTTTGATTTGTAATATTCAGTGCTACATTAAAATTCAATACTATATGCGATATGTTTGTTTTCAAATATTCTTTATGACATTGTAGTTCGCTTTTTCTTTCTGGTTCGCAGCAAGTTTCGTCACCTGTAACGACGTTCTGGCCAGCCAATAACTGTCCTCAATCAAACCTTTTTTTATTTTACGATACCTTTCAATACGCAGTCATTTAAAGTATCCCATTAAATAATGCGGTCTCCATCGAAAGTAAAACTAAGAACCTTCAGATGCAAAATGTTTTTAGAAGATGATTTAACATTCTTTAATTCATCATATTTTTTTAAATTATTCACTTTGAAAAGTAAAGAGTAAAATAAAATATAAGGCTTTAAAAACAAAAAAAAATTAAAAGACGTAGAATTTTCAAGATTTAATTTTCCAGCTGCGTGAATCTCTCTAACAGCTAGCGAAGCTAAGTACCGAGCTGGACTGACGTTATAGCATTTTTTATTATATTTATGTAATTTAATCTTTTATTAAATTTTATTGTATAAAAATTATTATGTCTATCCTATAAATCCTTACTAATATTATAAACGCGTAAGTTTATATGTATGGATGGATGTTTGTTACTCTTTCTCGCGAATACTACTGTATGGATTCTAATGAAACTTTACAATAACATAGCTTATACATCAGAATAGG